TACACAACAGGTGCACTAAATAAATGTATATTTTAACTTTCCCGTGCATTAGTATACAAAATCAATCAACGGAGAATATAAAAATGTTTAGGAAATGTAAGGAAATATTTTTATCAATAAAACAGAGGTTGTAACCCTCAGATTACAGAACTAAAGGCAGATGGGACGCATTGCGTGCCACCAAAGCAAATACAAATTCTCATTTCGTCTGCTTACTGCGAAAACCGAATAAGTGCAGAATGTGGCATTCTGAGTAAATCGATTTTAAACATTTGGGCTCCTCTTAAAGTAATATAATAATAATCTTTCACAGGCTGATCTTTGTTGAAAAAAGTTGAAACAAATGCCCTTCTTTATAGATATGACCTTAATTTTGTGTGCTGTAATAGTAAAAACTGTTTTAAATTGAATTTTAACAAAGGAGGGTGTGCATTTACGGTCTTAATTGTCTAATTTCAACTTAATGCTGTCGTGTTTTGTATTTGAGAGTAACTTTAGTATTTTAACACTGTGTAGAGCTAGACACACAGCCATTTTTGGTCATTTACCAGTTTTTGCTTGAAGAGAATTTGTTATATTTTTCTCTTATTCAGCTTTTCACCATACAAAATGATACACAAATTTGGTTAAGATGTAAAGGACTTTGTTTTCATTTTACTGTGAGGTTAATAAATAAAACAACCTATAAAATATATAAAGGACAATGTTAAAATTGGCCTAAGAACCAACACCAATTTGGCATTTATGATAATTCTTAGTCTATTTTTTGCGATAATTATCAGTATTTAGATTGTGACGGACACTTCCAGTTAAGTAAGCTAAATTAAAAAGTTAATAAATACCAAGAGACCATAAATACCATTTTATGTGTATATTCTATGACAGCGCTGCAAACAAAAAACACTTTCTTACTAATGCCGGCACTTCACTTGGCTATTCGTATTTGCTATTTTAAAACATGACATCAGTTTGTCCTTTTATTCCTTATTAAGCATGACAAGGACAAATTGTTGTCAATTGAAGGGCCGGCATAAAAGTCGATACTCTGTGGTTGTGGTGCATGCTGTTTGCATTCGTAGTAATCTGTGGCATTCGTGCATTCCAAAGAGTAGTATAATATACCGGAAAGTGCATTCTCGTTTCGGATTACCTGTTGTGTGTGTTTATTTGCGATTGTTTTTCCTTTAATTTAACTATTTCGGCTATCTAATATGCCATCAATGTTACCAAAGAGCAGAGCCCTTATTACCAAGTGCTAGTGAACCTGTGCCACAACATCCTGAGAGGATCATACTGCCAAATTATTCAAGAACACCTGATACACATTCACGCTGCATATTTACACAATATACATGTGTTAAACAAATAAACACAATATGATACAATTATGTGAAAAATAGCCAATAAATAGTAAGAAGCAAAACTACAGTTTTTATTTTATTCATGGTTCCTACCTAACCAAGTTTTTCCTATTAGTTATTCTTTAAAATCAAAAAATTAATTAGTTGTAATATTAATTCACTTCAAACTGAGTTCATACTAAGTTCGTAGGTTGACCTATGTTTCATTGAATGTTAAACATAACCTCAAAAAAATTTTAGTTTTCCTAATAATTTAAGTTCTCAGAAGTGTCCGTCAATAATCTTTGTTTTTACTGTCATTTACTTGCGTTTTCGAACCCAGAAAATAATATTTCATGATTGTTGGTTCTTAGGCTAACTATGTATGGACGCAGAACTATGTCCTTTAAAGAATTCAAGTAGCTACAATAGCCAGGAATAATAAGAATTAATATAACAAAGGAACGTATGCATTATGATTTTTTATAATGTTTTTCCTGTATATTTTTTCCAAAATGTGTGTACTTATAAGGTTTTCATCCTAGCTATCTTTGCAACCGTATGACTTATCATTTATCCGATTTTACCAGTAGAAAGAGCACAAAAAGTTACGTATAACTGTGTTCATAACTCAATTTCGTAAAAAAGTGCATTTATTTGGTTTTCGCAGTAAGCAGACGAATTTTTCTTCTGGCGAGTTGGTATTCGCTTTTGAATTTGTACTTTCCTTGCTTTGTAGTGGTCGCAAAGCGTGTTCCGTGCGATCCATATGCCTTTATTTCTATAATCTAAGTTAAAACCTCAAAGTTTACATTAATAATATAATTATGAAATATTATTAAAATTTATACCTCGGTTTTATACTTAACTTTATATTTCAATAAGTTTACAATACAAAAGCTTAAAACTACCTTATGTCTAAAAACGTAAAGACTAGAAATAACTAAGAACTTAAATAATATACAATTTACAAAATATATCACCCCCAGCGCCGCCGTCAGGAATGGTGCCCAATAGGCTGGCAGCATTAATTCATTAGCATTATGAAATTATTATCAATTTTCGCTCGTCGGTCATTGGATGGGTGACCTAAAATCTTCTATCTCGAGTTGCTTCGTGCTTCGGAAGGCAAGTTAAGCTAAAAGGTTAGCACCCGCCAATCTGCACTGGGCCCGTGTGGTCGGTCCTGGCCGAATCTCCCTATTCCATCCATAGGGAAGGCCTGTGCCCCAGTAGTGGGGATAATAATAGGCTGATGATGATAATGATTATCAATTTCATTAGAATCCGGTAAATCTAACCAACTATTTATCATTTATTGCCTCGTGTCTGGATGTCTGTACCCCATTATATTAGCTACTTTTTATGTTCGTGATTTTGATAGATGCAATATAGTTATAAATTTTATTATTTTTAAAGCATGTAACTGCTTGATGTTTAAATCTAAAGAAAATATATCTAAAGGAAATATAATTGGTCAGTGCATTCGCCCGGATTGCGAAGGGTGCGGGTTCGAGTCCCGTCTGCTGCCTGGTCCGCGTGGAATTTTTTCTAGTTATATTTTCTTTAGATGCAATATACTTTAAACTATATATATATATACTACATACAGTAATGTGTGATATTTACCCATAATCATAATATAATACTTAATTTTAATAAAGTGTTTAGTAACAATAACAATAAACTGTTTTGAAAGAGAACGTTTTTTGTTTAATATTAGAAACAAAAAACTATTGGAATCTGACCCACTGACGTTACTGTTTATACACAAAATAACGTTATTATTCATTACTTCCCCACACTTATTACTTTTTAAAACACTCTCATAACCTAGTAATAATCAGTAGACATTCAACCGTATGTGAATGGCATAGCTAACAGATTACAATCATACACAACGGTGTACTTACGACGGTTAGTCTCGAACACTTCAGCCAATAACATAAAAGTGGGTGTGGCTAATTTCAAAATTGGAATCCTTTTTCTTCGCAACGCTTTTCTTTTCTTTTGTTCACCCATTTTGAATAATCCATAGAGTGTAGAGTGAGCTGTCAAGCGAGTTCCGAATCGTTTGTATAATGTTTGCTCACTTTTGGCGCGTAATGATTGAAATGTCAGAAACTTACATTACACATAAATAAAAGTTGGCCACAAAAACGATTTCTGTTACGTTAACATTGTTCTAGAAGGATGTTATGCTAAGTTAATTTACTGAATGTTATGCTTTTAGGATTTTTAATTAGTCTACCTTCACTAAATTATTTAGAATGTGTATGTTAGATAAGTTACAGTAGGTAGCGATTACTAGTGATGTATATGAAAAAAAAAAATCTTATTTTAACAAGAAAAAACTGTTTTTTCACTATTTTGAAAAAGAAATTTTACTCGTGGAAAAACGTGCTCCAGAAAATAAAACGATTTTATTTGTTTTTTTACCAACGTTACTTTTCACGATAGAAATAAAAACGTTTTTTTGTATAGATTCGCCAGCGATTACTTCAACATACTTACTATATATTTTGTGAAAGTAGTTCTAGGTTTGTACCGTCTCCACGTCTAAACTGCTGAACCGATTTTGATAAATTTTGGTGTAGAGATAAGAGGATTGCAAAGCGACTACTTTTTAGGCCTTCATCGCGCAAATACAGCTTAAAGTAATTTGAAATAGAATATGGGAAGGAAGTTTGCATGGGAAGCCATTTATTCAGCACTGCCAAAGTCGTAGCGTAGCCACCCGCTAATAGATATTAGATAATAAAATGCATATAATGTTATGTTATGTAATTATTATTATATGTAGGTACTTATTACCCATTTAATCTTAATAGTGTTCGTATCGCTGTGGCGGAAGTGACAATAAGACAGCACTTAAAGAATGTAGTTTAGGTCTGCCCTCTCTAAGGTAGAAATCAGCGAGTAATAATTTAATTCTAAGAGTAATCAGTGAACATAATATTCATACATCCATCACCTTATGATATCGCAGTATGAACTGTATTCGTATAGCAATTCTATTCACTGATACCATCTTAACTATACATCAAATTGTACATTATACGGATACCATTAATACAAGTAAAATATCACTTGCGAAAACAGTACAAACTTTAGAGTCTGTATCTAGGCAATCTTACTTCAGCAGCTATTGTAGCATACAACGCTACCTACGTACTTACATCGAATGGTTATCGAAATAAGTTTCAGAAAAACAAGGCCGCTATAGGAAATGAACCGCAAACATTAAAAATCAATAAATAAAAGAAAATCCGTGACAAACAAGAAAAAATAAAACATACATACATCCTTTCTCCTTCGTACCTTTGAATATAACACACATAGACGGGACGTTATCTCGATGAACGCCGCATAAGTGATTCAACACTAGAATATTGTAATACAGCCTTAAAAGTATCAAAATTGAGTCAAAATTATTAAATTCTGACCGCAAATACAAATTTGTAAGTAAATATAGAATCAAATTAACATTGAATCTTTCAGAGAGCGACTGTGAGCTTTACGTCCATTATATTAAAAGCGATCTGTAAAGGAATGAAAGGTCTTTATAAAATGGACATGCTAACACAAAAGCTGAACTAAAAAGCCACCCCTAGTACCCGCCCCTTCGCAAAGAACCACTCCCTACAACTCAGTCGCGATGGTACCACAAAGCGGTAAACATGTGCTAAACAACTGAACATGCGCAATTCGGACCGCGCTCATTTTGTGAATTTCGAACGTTTGAACTTTGAACTTTAGGTATTTCTAATCTGTGTTCCGCCTCTTTAGTGATGTGCAGTTGTTTTAGTGTAACATTTTAGAATCGTTGTTTTTGGTTTGCGTTCAATAACGTTTTATTTTTTTTAACACTATTATGAACGTACGATGTACCCAACGGATAATAAGCATGGACCATTGAAATTGAACCCTTTCGTTGCGCAAAAGACTCTGGACCACAACATTATGTTGAAAACGATACAAACTCTATGTTACAATAAAGCGAGCGCGAATCCTTTCAATATGACGTCCCCTTTCCTAGTCGACAACATTTTGCATCAACAGAAAACGGTGAACTTCCATAATCAGTACTTGAATCAGCAGATCGAAAATTACATGTTCCAAAGGCAACATTACGAGCGTTCCAGAGAGAACACGCCGGAGGTGGACGAACACACTAAGATGGCGGAGGCGGAAGACGAGATCCGGAACGAGGAATCCATTGAAGATTCAAAAATCGAAGACGACGACTCCAAAAGTAGGGATGAGGAAGAGAGCTATAACGTTAAAACCGAACAAGGTTATTACAACGAGTTTTACCAACGAAACGAGGAATTGAAAGACAAGGAGGTTTTGAACATTCCAAATTTAAATCGCAGATGTCAGAGCTGCGGTTCGAATGAATGCCCGCCGTTCGCTTGCAAAAAGTCTGGCATAAGGAGACTCGAGGAGTTGGAGAAAAGGTTCAATTTGAATTACCAGGAGAACTCGGGGGATGAGGGCGAAAGGGAGAGATATAACACGGACGATATGGTTAGGAGTTGCGAGGAGTTCAACGAGCCCAAGAAGCCAACGCTGAAGTTCAGTGTGAGTGCAATATTGGGAGATAGAGAGGACACGGCGAAGACCAATAGCGTTAATGGTAAGTTGATTAGCAGAGAATAATTTTTTTGGATATACTGTACTTCCAGGGCCCAAAAGTAAAAACTTTTGTTGGTTGTAATTTCGCATTTTTGTTGTTAAAAAGGTTTCTGTTAACCACATTATTAAAAAAAATGTCACACTTATGCACTGGTAGTTTTTTAGAAAAAAATACTGAAATTTTTTACGTTTCTTATCAAGTGGTGATACTTCACACTAGGTTAGGTTAGGTTAGTGTTGTGACCATAACGCGTGAGCCGAGCGAGCAAAGCGAGCGTGCCGTGGCAGCGGCCGGCGAAGCGTCAGAAAAAAAAACTGTTAAAAAGACCTTTTCTACAAAAAAAAAACAAGTATCACCTTTTGGGCCCTGGAAGTACAGGTTTATCATTTTTTTCAGCAGCTTTTAAAGGCTCTGGCGATTGCGCACCAACAGGCCAGCCATTATTTTGCTATCCTAAACACAAGTTTTGGATGTTTGAGGTTATTTCGTTTTTTTTATTTACTGAAATAAGCAGGAAAAAATATATTATCTATATACCTATATAAAACTCAAAGGTGACTGACTGACTGACATAGTGATCTATCAACGCACAGCCCAAACCATTGGAAGGATCGGGCTGAAATTTGGCATGCAGGCAGATGTTATGACGTAGGCATCCGCTAAGAAAGGATTTTGATCAATTCTATCCCCAAGGGGATAAAATAGGGAATGAAAGTTTGTATGAAACTTTGTCAATTTTAAACCGATCGGGCTGAGAGTTTGCATGCAGGTATAAGAAGAATCACAGATGAATGTCATTGTGTATAATAGAAGCCTGAGAACAAAAACTGTAGTCTACACTTCAGCTCTACACCGAAGCGAAGCGAGGGCGGGCCGCTAGTCTTTTTATGTATAAACACAGAAAGTATTGCACGATGATTTTCAAAATAGTACTTGTCAAGGTATGTATGTGTAAAGGTGTCTCATAATATAGTGAAAAATATTATCATAGCAATATACCTTATATTGCTATGATTATATCTTTAAACGTTCTAATAATCGTCAGTTTCTGAACTTGTCTGACTTTGCAGTTGTGCCACATAATCTCTTATCTATTAGACAAGTCCGTCCGTCTGTCTGTGGTGCTGTTTCAGTGGGCAAACCGTAAGAGATAGATAAAGAGAATATTTAAGTTATAAGTTAAGAATAGTCTGATAAGACTACAAACCGGATTTGAGTAACGTAGCACTTCCGGTTTTCGAGAAATCAGGTTTTGGTGAACATTTGGTTCACTGGTTTGCTAGTCATTAATTAACTTATGATTTTTTTTATTAAATTTTGCCATCTTTAATGTTATTCATACTGCGTTCGGACTTACAAATATTTTGCCGAACAATAGTTATATTTAGACAAAAATATGCCTTGTTTAAGGAAGATAATGTCAAGTGTGTCATGCCAAATAGATTTAGGAGCAACAAAATTCTGTTAGACCTACGATTAATACGTTGGCAAAGGAATACAGTAGACATGCGTTTCTTTAAATATGTACTTTGGATAGGTTACAGCGGCGCGCGATCCGCATCATAGGCGATGAGGAGGTGACTAAACACCTTGAGCCTCTTCAATTACGCCGTGACGTGGCGTCACTAAGCGCGTTCTATCGTCTGTACCACGGCGAGTGTTCTGAGGAGTTATTCTCTCTTATCCCACCTTCCCCTTTCCTTCAGAGGACCACGCGCACCGGCCTAAGTAGCCACCGTCTAACTGTGGCCACAATTCCAACGCGTGCAAAGAAGTTTGGTGACTCATTTCTTTGTCGCACTATCCTTAAATGGAATGCTCTGCTCGCTCACGTGTTCCGACCCTCTTACAACCTGAGATCCTTTAAAAGAGGCGTGTAGAAGCAACATGCAGGCCGGCAGGGTGAGGATGGCTGTTGTGGCAGGTAGAACTGCTGTATCAGCTATCTTCGCGTCTGGACTTCACCGTCACTTAACATCAGGTGGGGTGGAGTCATTTGTCGGACCTATCTATAAAAATAAATGTGCAGGTATGATCAGACCACATTCAAGTTTTAGGGCTTTGATAATAATATTTCGTGCATTATTATTATTTTGTATAAGATAAAGTAAAGTTTGTTATTATTGTAATAAATAAAATTAATTGGTACTGGTTTTAAGCCCGGCCTAGTGACCGTCAATATAATATTATTTTTGACGAGTCGAGACGGTCAGAAGGAGGTTCTTAAGTACCAATAAATGTCACTGATTTAAAAAGAATTTTTCGAGAAGTATTAAATGGTTAGATAATTTCATTAGCTACAAGAAATAATTATATTTAGCAAACTGCGGATAGATTCAGCAATATGAGGAATCAATCACAGTGTGGTAGTTTTCAGGTTTAGTGACGAAACTTAATTAAAAAAGGCAATTGGTTTTAACTTTGTTTTATTTTCCATGCTACACCATTGCTTTTTCGAATTAAGTGATATGTACTATTTTAATAGCACAGTATTAAAACCATGAATGAGTTGCCATTAAAAATTTTTACTTTAATATTACCAGGAAAAACTAAATTAATATATTTTAAACTAGCGGCCCGCCCTCGCTTCGCTTCGGTGTAGAGCTGAAGTGTACACTACAGTTTTTGTTCTCAGGCTTGTATTATACACAATGGCATTCATCTATGATTCTTCTTATACCTGAATGCAAAGTCTCAGCCCGATCGGTTTAAAACTGACAAAGTTTCATACAAACTTTCATTCCCTATTTTATCCCCTTGGGGGTAGAATTGATCGAAATCCTTTCTTAGCGGATACCTACGTCATAACATCTACCTGCATGCCAAATTTCAGCCCGATCCGTCCAGTGGTTTGGGCTGTGCGTTGATAGATCACTATGTCAGTCAGTTACCTTTGAGTTTTATATATATAGATTTTTAAGCATTTCACTGCTTGATATTTTAATCTAATCCAATCCGCCAATCTAAAGCTAATCAGCCCGGCTAGCGGGAGATGCGAATTAAAATTTGAATCTCGTTTTTTTATATCGAGGTAAGCAAATGACTCTACCCCACCTGTACCCTTAGTACGAGTTTTACAATTACGAAAACTATGATAGTTTTCGTGAGCTCGCACTCGTACTAAGGGTACTGATTTTATTGTTTTCGTTTCAATACAAATACAACAGTGTTTAAATTCTAACATTAAATCATTTTCGTCTTCTTAAATTTTAAGAATATTTGGTTACTTTTCACAAAAATGGACATGGAAACATAATTTACAATTACGAAAACTATGATAGTGATTATGCTAAACTATGATAGTTTTTTATAACTATGTTGCTTGACATTGAATATTGTGGTATTTCAAATATCAAACCTTACTTATTTTGGTCAGCCAACGGTCGCTACATATAAACATAATAAAACCTATCTAAAACTGAATAAAATGTTTAATCTGCTAATCAATTAAAGGGCAACACTGCAGGCAAATACAAAGATTAGGAACATTTTTTTTAACAAATTCTTACAAAGGTTAGTTACATCTAATATAACTACATACTTAGTAGGTCTGAGAATCGGACAACATCTATTTTTCATACCTCTAAATGTTAAGGGTGGTCCAACTTAATTTTATTTTTTGGACTATATTTTTCGGTTTTATTTTTTATGATACATCATACAAAAAGACCGTCAACTTTTTTCGCCCTTCCACCACTAACCCTTATTTTTAGTTCGCTGGATGAGCTGGTATTTATACATTAATTAATACATAACGAGGAAGACATACGTAAAGTTACTGAACATCGCTGCATTGCTATTACAAATTCAGTTTTGACGTGACAACGTCTTAAATTAGGTTGCGGCTGGGAGTCACTTATGAAAAAGTGTAACGCTCGGTAACGTTACGATGAGTCTCTCGTGTTAAGTTTAAGTTTACATGTACAATGTTTTAGTAAACAAAATATATTTCTATAGTTAAAATTTGTGCAATTCTTATTTTCATTCAATTCCTTGTTCCTATTGTGCAATTTAATTATATTCATATCAATAAATATTCTACCGAGAAAAAGACGTTGTCACGTAAAATCTTCGCCCGTAAAACCGACTTTACAGGCAACCATTTTTTAAGTCTTACGTTTCTTCAAACTGTCTCATAATGCTTAACATTTACATGCACGTTATGTCTCAAAGGCCTCCAGAAATCCTTGTTTGAACTTCGCCAGCGAATCGTTATTGACATCTAAGGTCCGACTATAGTTGTTGAGGAGTTTGAACAAACGAGGTATTGGGGAATTCGCACCTAAGACAGTTATGCGAAAGGGTAGGACCAGTGGTTTAACGACGAGCTGGGTTTCTTCGGGGAATGTTGAATTTTATATTTTCTAGTAACAGTCGATTTTACGACCTCTCCCTGGCCGAGTGGTTTGTACGCCGGGTTTCATGGTGTCGCCGACTCGAGAGGTCCCAGGTTCGAATCCCGGTGGGGGCAGATGTTTGTGTGATGAATACGAGCATTTGTACTCCACTCATGGATGTTTAATATGTATTTCTATGTAAATATACTTATATATGTACAGTGTATGTATTCTATCCGTTACCCTAGCATCCTATAACACAAGCCTTACAGTGCTTACTTTGGGGCTAAGCTAATTGGTGTGTGTTGGAAATATTTATATATATTTATATATTTTTTTATTTATTCCTGAGAAGTTTGTATAGAAACTGCAGATCCAACAAGTCGCGTGGCTTATAATGACATCTTATTGAAATAGACTAGTTTGTCACTATAGTTTCTGATACTATTAGTAATTCCCGAAGAGCGCGCCAAATGCCACAGAAACCTCTTTTGCAGTCTTTCCAACCTTAGTTTATGGGTTGAAAAATGTTGACTACGCTGCAAAATTTAAGAGTAATCTCTTATCTATTAGACAAGTCCGTCCGTGGTGCTGTTTCAACGGCCAAACCGTAAGAGATAGATAAAGAGAATGTTTAAGTTATAAGTTGAGAATAGTCTGATA